CAGAATAGTAGGAGTAGGTGGTAATTTCCATCCTTTTATACTTCTTCTCTAATTAGCACGAATACTCCTCAAATTATTCTACAAAATAAAAGCAGCAGAACAATGAGACATTCATTTCATGAGGATAGTTTCCTTGATACCTAAGTCACTTATGCACTCAAAAAGTAAGAAAACTATATGGCAATTTCCTTACAAACATATATGTAAAAGTCCTCAATAAAATATTTGCAAACTGGATCCAAGAACACGTCAAAAATACCATCTACCATAAGCTTTATTTCAGGACATTTAGGGATAGATCAATATACAAAAACTAAAAAATATAATGTACCCCCTATACAAACTGAAACTTCAATTCCGCATTCAATGCAGAAAAGTCTATGACTAAATTAACACCCCTTCTTCATGAAAGTTCTAGAGAGATTAGGGGTTCAGGGGACATACTTCCAAATAAAAGAACCATTTTACAGGAGGTGTGTAGCCCACATCAAGATAAAAGGAGAGAAATTAAAATGTTTTCCACTAAAATAAGAAACAACACAAAGGTACTCACTCTCTCCATACATATTCAATACAATACTTGAAATCTTAGGAAGAACAATACCACAAATGAAGAAGATCAAGAAGTGATGAAAAGCAAAAGGGAGAAATCAAAGGAACTTTACATGCAGATACTATGATTTTAGCTATGAAAAAAAACTCTACAAACTCCACCAGGAAATTCCTAAATCCGAGAAGCACTTTCATCAAATTTAGGGGTGAAAATATAATTAACAGTGGGTGTAGCGGAATGTGCTAAAACTGTGGAGTTGCAGAGATATTCTGATTATTAAGAAGCCCGGCTGCAAAAGGATAGCTCTGGAGGGATAGAGAGCCACAATCAGACAACTCTGGAGGCGAAGAGAAACAATGGGACAGCTATGGAGGAACAGAGTCACAATAGGACAGCTATGGAGGCTGGACCTGGAGGACAAGTGTCCTAACTATCAGTAAGACAGGCTACTGGGGTGCAGTTGGGCATGGTCTCCCCACAGGATATAGCAATACTGTACTTCTCCTGGAGAGCCATACAGCTGAGTTCTGCTCTGTTCCCTTAAGGGAACATCCTAGCAGAGCTATCTGCTTCTTCTCCAGCCTAAGATGTTACTTCATTTGCTCACACTCCTCTAAAGGAGAAGCACCCTCAGAAATATAGCAACTCCCCCAACTCCTTACCTTTTCTGCTCCACCTTGCTTACCCCCCCCCACCCCTGCTTAGGGAGCATCTCAGCATGGTTTTTCAGCTCATTCCCTTAAGGGACATCCCGCCCAACCATGTTCTTCTATTCTGTGCTGGCAAATGAAAATCTTCACCCAAGATTCTTTTGAGAAAGAGACTTATTTGGGAAGGAGGATTCCAGCAAAGTAGCCCACTCTGCCAGGGAGACATAAATAGTGGTTTTTAAGTGAACATGCAGAGAGGCTTGTATAGGGCTTCTTGAGGGAAGAGTTTTCCCAGGGAGAAGAGGGGTTGGTTTGTCTTTCCCTGCTCAGGTATTTTTGTTTCATTGTTCAGGGGCAGATATGGCTCTGATTTCATGGTCGAACTGTGTTTCTTTCACTGGCTCATGGTTGCCAAGTCTTTCAACTCTAATCTGAGGACCAGGGCATATTTCCTTCACGGGCTCTGATTCTGGGAACAATGTGTGTTTCTTTGACTTTGGTTTTAGAGTCAGGGCAAATGTCTTTAGTCCTGGGTTCTGGGAGAAATATGTTTCTTTCCCTGGCCCAGGTCTCAGATCCAGGATTTGTTAATTTCACTGGCTCGAGGTTTAGAGTCATGGTGTTCAGGGATTGATCGGTTTCCTGTTCCAGTTGTCCATTTTACCCTACAGAGGACAGTATCCTCCTATATACAAATGCAAACAGACTTAAATAGAAATCACAAAAATGATGTCTTTCACTATAGCCTCAGAATATAGTTTGGGGGATTCCAAACTAGAAAAGTAAGAGGCCATTGTTAATACTTTAAGGCATTAAAGAAATAAATTGAAGATATCAGAAAATGGAAAAAGTTCCTGTCAAGCATTAGTCAACTGGTGTAATAAATCTGGACATGGACATCATATCAAAAGTAATGTTCTAATTTGGTGAAAAATCTACCTAAATTATAACAATTCTTTACACATCTTGAAAAGACAGTCTCCAGCATCACAAGAATACATATAAACAAAAAACTCACAATAGCTGAAACGATCATGAAAAATAAAAATATAAATATAGAGGATATTACCATCGAAAATATGAAACTATATTACAGTTATATAATCTTCATGTTTTCTACAATTATGGTATTGCCAAAAAATAAAAACTTGATCAACAAAATCAAATTGTAGATGCTGACATAAATCTACTCACCCATGACACATTATTTTTAAAAAAATCTAGAATACCCTTGACAAAAAGATAGCACTTATTCCTAACTTTACCTATGCTATTTCTAGCAGACCAGAAGTCTCCCAACGAAAAATGTCTTTTCTCCCAAGAGAATATCAGTGGGGAGAAGAGTCACTCCTATAGGATGTCTCAAAACACAGCACTTGATGGATAACATCACACAACTCAATAGAATATTTGTACATTCTTTTTCACCATAATGCTTAGTTTGGGAATTCATTTCATTTTATATTTTTGCTCTATAGAATCATTGTGTCTATTATAACTTCTAGAGTTTTGTTTTGTTTTGTACATTTTTGTGTGTACAAATGTGTCTATCTCTCTACATATGCTCACTGTGCTTTTTCTTTGTCTCCTTTTCTTCTGATATCTTACCTGATTTCTTTGATTTTGATTATATCATTTTATCCTTTTTCTTTGGTTTTTAGAGACAGTGATTTTCTGTAACTTTGGAGCATGTCCATCAGCTAGCTCTTGTTACCACACTGACCTCAAATTCACAGAGGTCCACCTGCCTCTACCACACAAATGTTGGTTTTAAAGACATGTACCAAAAAAAAATAAATAAATAAAAGACATATACCACCACTGAAAATGGGGAGGATTTCAGTGCATTTGAGGAATAAAAAGCCATATTCAGAATATGTTTTATGAAAACATCTATTTTCTATGTAAGAAAAAGAGAAAATATATTTGTGATGATACGATCAGTCCTTGTTACTTTACTTGATATCTGAGATTTTATGAATCCCTTCATTATGGTATATATGATTCTCAGTGGATCAGTTAGTAATCACTGTTTCCTATCTGAATTCCCTTCATTATTTATTAACTAATATTCTGTCTTCTTTATTGATATTATTTAATTTGTTCATTTCAATGGATTATAGAGATGAGTTATATCCATAAAAATAATATAATTTCATGAATGTGATTTGTTGTTGGGTTAAAGGCTTTGAAATAGTTATTTTAAATTGCCTTGAAAAAATTTCTATGATAAAGGCAATATACAGGGGCTCCATGGTGATGAATTAGAGGCAGCAGCTGGCGAGTGGCTGGAGCAACATTAAGAGGTCCCATCTAGAACCACAATAGGAAGCAGAGAGCTCACTGTTGGCAGTAGAATGTTTTAAAATTCTCAAAACCAGTCTCCAAGAAAGTAGCCGTTCCAAAAAGTTGATACTTCTTAATCCTACACATAAATATCCACCAACATCAAGCAATATGTCCATTTGTTTGATTATATGCGGCCATTTCACACAACCCACCATAGCCTTATTTATTATTCTAAAAATTATAATTGATATGTCTATGGTAACATAACTTCAAACCTCTCATTTTATAATTTATTTGATATATGTTATAAAAGATCTTCTATCTATTTGCTTTTAGAAGATTGTTTCATTAGAATAAATTAATTGCTTTATTTTTTGTAATATGCCACCTTGCATATGGGTCTATGTATTTATAAAATTGTGTGACATATATATGTATATATATGGAAACATTTCACCTAAATGTAATAATTCACATAATATATATTTTTATTTTATCCAGTACTTTATTCTCATCAAACACAAGATTTATTTTCAAAGGAGAATAGACAAGATTCTGTCAAGAAGTTGGTATCAGGAATAGCTGTAAGTAGTAACTTAAAAACCTTGCATTATAGGATGTTGTCAAAATTTGGGGAAAAGAGAAAATAGAATGGATTATGTCATGATTGAAATAATCTATATTCACCAGCCACTCTGGGTAGTCCTGCCAAATAAGGTCAGTAATCTATACCTTATCTTGAGAGATTTCACATTAGATCACTTACGTTTTCATATCAGTTTCTTCAGTAAAAAGAATCCAAATAAACTTTTAAAATATATTTTTATTTCACAATGAATTTAGAAAAAACTGAAGCTGAATGACCAATATTCTATCAAACATTCTTTAGAGTCTCCTCAACTAATAATTACATTTTTGTGACAAGTTATTCAACTGAAATAAACATGAGAAGGTTTTTCTCAATCATATGAGACTGAAAAGATATCATAGCATTTTGAGTTGTGAAAATCCTTACACACTTAATAAATTATTAAAGTCTTTCCTAGGCACCCTAGGAAAAATAGTTTCCAGAATCATCATCTTGAAGGGATAAATTCCCAAAACATCAAATCACCTTATGTCTTTACTCATTATTTGATGCATAATAGAAGGCCATTTTTCCTTCAAGCCAATATATACATGATAATTGTGAGATTTTTTTTAATTATGAAAAACACATTTGGTATTTTTTTCCAGCATGAACAGAAAGAATGGAAGCATTATATGAGGAATCAAAATGAAGAGAGACAAAATAACTATATGGAATGTGAAAGTACTTCAAAAAACCTCCATGTGTCACTAGGCATAAGAGAATTAATCCCAAACAAAAGGCATACAAATGTAAAGATTGGGGCAAGTCATATACCCATCATGATAATTTTCAAACTCAACAGAGAATCCATCCTGGTGAGAAACCTTACAGATGTCAGGCATGTGGCAAGTCATTTACTCGGCATGCAACTCTTCAGGATCACCAGAGAATACATGCTGGTGAGAAACCTTACAGATGTCAAGCATGTGGAAAGTCATTTACCCGGGTCTCAACTCTTCATAATCATCACAGAACCCATACTGGTGAGAAACCTTACAGATGTCAAGAATGTGGCAAGTCCTTTACCCAGGTCTCACATCTTCATAATCATCACAGACTCCATACTGGTGAGAAACCTTACAGATGTCAAGCATGTGGCAAGTCCTTTGCCCGGGTCTCACATCTTCATAATCATCACAGAACCCATACTGGTGAGAAACCTTACAGATGTCAAGAATGTGGCAAGTCCTTTACCTGGGTCTCAAATCTTCAGAGACATCACAGAATCCATACTGGTGAAAAACCTTGCAGATGTTAAGAATGTGGCAATTCTTTACCTGGGTGTCAACTCTTCATAATCATCACAGAACCCATACTAGTGAGAAACCTTACAGATGTCAAGAATGTGACAAGGCCTTTACCCAGATATCAGCTTTTCACACTCACCACAGACTCCATAGTGGTGACAAACCTTTACAAATGTAAAAAATGTAATTAGTCTTTTAACACAAAATCAACTCTTAGAAAGAATCACAAAACTCATGTTTTAGGTACATTTCATAAAATTTCTTAGTATACCTCACATTAATTCAGTATACTGATTTTAACACATTGACCAAGTTATTACACAGACTTACATCCTTTGATTAATTTTCAAAGCTTAGTCACTGCTTATACAGTCATACAGTTTTTATAAATTTAGAAACATTGTATCTAGATTTGATCTTTATTTTCATCAGACTTTTGTTATAAACTGAATTTATGCATGATTGATGTGAACATACTATTCAATCATCACCTAGTATGAATAATAAATATTTCTAGTAGGAATTAATTAAGCAATAACTTTTCTTGACTGTATTTTAAGATAATGTGTTAAAGAACCAGCAAATTCAAACTATTTCAGATTTTAATACATATTTAATTTCTTGGCATATGGTTGCTTTTTTAATGAGATTATATCCTTTATAAACACTATTTTCCTTCAATTCTTTTAGAGACTTTACTAAATATAAGCTTGAATTTAACTTTAAGGCTTTTCATTCTGTATTTTTGCAATAAAAAATAAATTAAACACTTGGGCCAATTTTTATCGTATTTTTGTTCTGATAGCCTATTCTCTAATGGCAGGGTATCATTAATGAGATTTGCTAAATGGATGACAACAACAATGAAAACATGAACATAGTTGAACAAATACTTTTGTAGTATGATAGGGCATCTCTTAGGTATATTCCCAAGAGTGGTATTGCTGGGTCCTGGGGTAGATTGATCCCAAATTTCCTGAGAAACCACCACACTGCTTTCCATAGTGGTTGCAAAAGTTTGTATTCCCACCAGCAATGGATGAGTGTACCCCTTACTCCACAACCTCTCCAGCAAAGGCTATCATTGGTGTTTTTGATTTTAGCCAATCTGAGAGGTGTAAGATGGTATCTCAAAGTTGTTTTGATTTGCATTTCCCTGATCACTAAGGAGGTTGAGCATAACCTTAAGTGTCTTTTGGCCATTTGAATTTCCTCTTTGAGAATTCTCTGTTCAGTTCAGTGCCCCATTTTTAATTGGGTTAATTAGCATTTTAAAGTCTAGTTTCTTGAGTTGTTTATATATTTTGGAGATCAGACCTTTGTCTGTTGTGGGGTTGGGAAAGATCATCTCCCAGTCAGTGGGTTGCCTTTTTGTCTTAGTGACAGTGTCCTTTGCTATACAGAAACTTCTCAGTTTCAAGAGGTCCCATTTGTTCAATGTTGCCCTTAATGTCTGTGCTGCTGGGGATATATGTAGGAAGTGGTCTCCTGTGCCCATATGTTGTAGAGTACTTCCCAATTTCTCTTCTATCAGGTTCAGTATGTTCAGACTGATATTGAGGTCTTTAATCCATTTGGACTTGAGTTTTGTACATGGTGATAGATATGGATCTATTTTCATTCTTCTACAGGTTGACAACCAGTTCTGCCAGCACCATTTGTTGAAGATGCTTTCTTTCTTCCATTGTATACTTTTAGCTCCTTTATCAAAAATGAGTTGTTCATAGGTTTGTGGGTCAAAATCTGGGTCTTCTACACAATTCCATTGATCGACTTCTCTGTTTTTATGCCAATACCAAGCTATTTTCAATACTGAAGCTCTGTAATAGAGTTTGAAGTCAGGTATGATAATGCCTCCAGAAGTTCCTTTTTTGTATAAGATTGTTTGGCTATCCTGGGTTTTTTGTTTTTCCATATAAAGTTGATTATTGTCCTCTCAAGGTCTGTGAAGAATTTTTTGGGATTTTGATGGTGATTGCATTGAATCTATAGATTGCTTTTGGGAGAATTGCCATTTTTTGTAATAGCCAGAACCTGGAAACAACCTAGATGCCCTTCCATGGAAGAATGGATGAAGAAAGTGTGGAATATATACATATTAGAGTACTACTAGGCGGTAAAAAACAATGACTTCTTGAATTTTGCATGCAAATGGATGCAAATAGAAAACGCTATCTTGAGTGAGGTAACCTAGACCCAAAAAGATGAACATGGGATGTATTCACTCATAATTGGTTTTTAGCCATAAATAAAGGACATTGAGTCTATAATTTGTGTTCCTAAGGAAGCTAAATAAGAAGGTGAACCCAAAGAAAAACATACAGTTATCCTCCTGGATATTGGTAGTAGACAAGATTGCTGGGCAAAAATTGGGTACTGGGGGGTGGGGTGGGATGGGGGAAAGGGGAGATGGGGAGAGAAAAGTGAGAAGGGGAGGATGGGGAGAGATTGAGGGAATGGGATGGTTGGAATAATGGAAGGATGGATATGGGAGCAGGGAATATATTTCTTAATTAAGAGAGCCATTTTAGTGTTGGCAAGAGCCTTGACTCTAGAGGGGTTCCCAGGGGTCCAGAGAGATGTACACAACTAGGTGCTTGGGCAGCTGAGGAGAGAGAGCCTGAAATGGCCCTATCCTATAACCATACTAATGAATATCTTGCATATCACCATAGAACCTTCATCTGGCAATGGATGGAGATGGAGACAGAGACCCACATTGGAGCAATGCACTGAGCTCCCAAGTTCCAAATGAGGAATAGAAGGAGGGAGAATATGAGCAAGGAAGTCAGGACCAAGAGGGGTGTACCCACCCACTGAGACAATGGGGCTGATCTATTGGGAGCTCACCAAGGCCAGATGGACTGTGACTGAAAAAGCATGGGATAAAACTGGACTCTCTGAATATGGTGGACATTGAGGACTGCTGAGAAGCCAAGGACAATGTCACTGAGTTTTGACCCTACTGCATGTACTGGCTTTGTGGGAGCCTATCTGGTTTGGATGCTCACCTTCCTAGACCTGGATGGAGGGGGGGGGGG